CACCATCAAACGAGCGCCGAATCCAAATAGACCACATTGCCGTCAGTTATCGGTGGCGAGGGTCGATCACCGCCTGCCGCTCCTTCTGGAACACCAGCGTGGACTCCGACCATGCACTTGTACGCTGCTGCTTTTCATTGCGCTTTTCAGGTGTACGCAAATCGCGCACACCTCGCTTAGCCATTGAGAAGCTAGTTGATCCAGAAACCAAACGAAACTATCAGAAACAGCTCCTCGAATGCCTGCCGGACGGTACGGTGTCGGATATAAACGGCCACTGGGGAAAAATATCCAACGCGTTACTCAAAGCAGGAGAGTCTGCTTGCGGTACAACCCAGCCAACCTCATCCAAGCATTGGATCTCTGATAGAACCGTGTCTTTTCTGGAGACCCAGCGACAGATTCCACCTGCTCGCCACCAGGTGGCGCATCATCCGACGCCAGGTGAAAGTGACTGTCCGCGCAAACCGAGAAGCTTGGTGGACCCCTCTCCCCACCCCATGAATAACTCTCCTCTTGCAGGCCCAGCACTTAGGACTGATGACTCCGTTCGTCATGCATCGGTTTTGCGTGTAGCATCTACTCGTCACACGGTGCCGACATCTTCAGGAATCTCCAGATCAGTCCTCAAGCCTCGACACCCACTCTATCTGGCCGCGCTCAATGTTCGCACTCTGAAGCAAGCAGGACAACAAGCTGCCCTTGCATTCACACTGGACTCGCTTGGCATTGATGTGTGCTGTGTCTCAGAAACGAGAATTCAAGATGCAAGCACAGTGATTGAGTTAACCGCCCCGTCAGTCTCCACTCGCTTCCGGCTACGCACCTCTGTTGATCCAGATGCTGCTGCGGTGGGATATGGCGGGGTTGGTATTGTGCTAAGTCACCAAGCGGAAGTAACCTTACTCGACTAGATACCTGTTGATAGTCGCCTCTGTGCGATTCGTCTGGAAACGTCTGTCGTCACGGCAGTGGAGCATCGGTACGGCAGTGAAGTATGGGTGTTGAACACTGATGTCATGCTGTCGATGATGATGATGGTGATGATGATGATGACTCAGCATAGTCTTTCGTGTTGTCTGGAGCATGGCTGAGCGCGCGCCGTGTTCGACGTCACTTACCACTGCGCCCACGCCTTTCATTTTTACCCCATATGTGACACCCGCACTAAGAAACTGCATTAGTCCTGTACGCATGAGAATGTTCCCGTGCAATACTAGTCGGATTGCTTAACTTACGTTCCCGGTATCTACCTGAGAATCACGTGACTACTTCACTTGAATGACCTTGCCTCCCACCCTCGTGCTTCCTTGAGCTCTGTGCCGTTCGGCTTGGAGCGAGTGCATTTTTAACCCCCACCCCTGTTTTGTGTATCTTGGCTGATTGTTAAAGAAAGCATAGAGGAATTAGCGGGTTAGTAACCCACACTCCATTGGCTGTGCTCCTCCTTTAGTCACGCGATTCACACCACGTGACCACGCACTGCCTACTTCTCCGAATGATGACTTCTCAGATAGACGGTTTTTGAGACTTGTGAGTTTTTGCCTTCCTGAGTAGACACCAGCATGAAACAATTAAAACGGATCAGTCATGCCCAGTTCGTGCACGTAATCTTTCCAGATTGACATGGTCGTATTTTAGGTCCTGTATCAAAACGATTACAACTTTGCTTTTTTTAAACGTTGGTACATTCTTCTTTATTTATTCATCAAATTCGTAAGTGGAATGCGATATTTGACAATGTTTCCGAATCCACACTTTCTACGTTCGTTCAACTCGCAGTGCATTCTGTATGACATCAATCCAGCAACGCCTTCGCGTGAGACTTATCTCTGTAAAAACCTTAACTCTTTTCTTCGGGCAATTTGATTTCTTGGGTTTTTGTACCAATACGGTTATCCCTAATTGAGAAACCTATTGAGAACACCTGTTTCCAAACACGTGCCGAGAATTGTTTAGGTTTGAGAACGTGTTCGTCCAATTGGCAAATTACGGGCGTGTTTAGGGACGAAATTCGTTGTCTAGTTTGACTAACAAGTATGTCCTAGTCTAACGCGTTTGTGTGTGTTTCTCTCTGCGTGTACCACAGCTCATTTCACTACGGGTTGCCGAACGGGAAGTGGAGCGTAATTTTGAATATATTGCATCAACACTACTCTCATCTCCAACACACCGGCAACAACAGCAGCAGCTACTCATGCGATTTACCGGACGAGGACACGGTCGATTTCTCAGTTTTGCTACCAGTCGGAGAGGGGTACAGCGCCACAACAACAGCAACAATAATCAACCTGTATCGACCAGAACGAGCTAGCCTGTCTTGTCCGGTGGGCAGGGCACTGGTTTCGAGCATAGTCTTTCGTGTTGTCTGGAGCATGGCTGAGCGCGCGCCGTGTTCGACGTCACTTACCACTGCGCCCACGCCTTTCATTTTTACCCCATATGTGACACCCGCACTAAGAAACTGCATTAGTCCTGTACGCATGAGAATGTTCCCGTGCAATACTAGTCGGATTGCTTAACTTACGTTCCCGGTATCTACCTGAGAATCACGTGACTACTTCACTTGAATGACCTTGCCTCCCACCCTCGTGCTTCCTTGAGCTCTGTGCCGTTCGGCTTGGAGCGAGTGCATTTTTAACCCCCACCCCTGTTTTGTGTATCTTGGCTGATTGTTAAAGAAAGCATAGAGGAATTAGCGGGTTAGTAACCCACACTCCATTGGCTGTGCTCCTCCTTTAGTCACGCGATTCACACCACGTGACCACGCACTGCCTACTTCTCCGAATGATGACTTCTCAGATAGACGGTTTTTGAGACTTGTGAGTTTTTGCCTTCCTGAGTAGACACCAGCATGAAACAATTAAAACGGATCAGTCATGCCCAGTTCGTGCACGTAATCTTTCCAGATTGACATGGTCGTATTTTAGGTCCTGTATCAAAACGATTACAACTTTGCTTTTTTTAAACGTTGGTACATTCTTCTTTATTTATTCATCAAATTCGTAAGTGGAATGCGATATTTGACAATGTTTCCGAATCCACACTTTCTACGTTCGTTCAACTCGCAGTGCATTCTGTATGACATCAATCCAGCAACGCCTTCGCGTGAGACTTATCTCTGTAAAAACCTTAACTCTTTTCTTCGGGCAATTTGATTTCTTGGGTTTTTGTACCAATACGGTTATCCCTAATTGAGAAACCTATTGAGAACACCTGTTTCCAAACACGTGCCGAGAATTGTTTAGGTTTGAGAACGTGTTCGTCCAATTGGCAAATTACGGGCGTGTTTAGGGACGAAATTCGTTGTCTAGTTTGACTAACAAGTATGTCCTAGTCTAACGCGTTTGTGTGTGTTTCTCTCTGCGTGTACCACAGCTCATTTCACTACGGGTTGCCGAACGGGAAGTGGAGCGTAATTTTGAATATATTGCATCAACACTACTCTCATCTCCAACACACCGGCAACAACAGCAGCAGCTACTCATGCGATTTACCGGACGAGGACACGGTCGATTTCTCAGTTTTGCTACCAGTCGGAGAGGGGTACAGCGCCACAACAACAGCAACAATAATCAACCTGTATCGACCAGAACGAGCTAGCCTGTCTTGTCCGGTGGGCAGGGCACTGGTTTCGTCGCTCGGCCTTCTGCCAGTCTATCGCTGTCTCTCGCACAAGCACTTCCCGTCAAATCTCTCCCACATGACCTCTCGCTCCGGAAGCCACCAGACCTATTGATCTACGAGCCAATCAGCAGCGTCCAATGTGTACTGGACACGTGCGTGCGTGCGTGTGCGTGTGTGTGTTCACACGCCTCTGCATCGCTCTTTCCCGGGGCTGTAGACACACAAGCGCGTACGTTTGTGCGTCTGTATTACTACGACTGTTGACCGACGGGCGCTGGTTATTGGGTTTCCACAACTGTTCTCCAACACGAACGCGCGTTTTACGTTCCGGGAAAATATCGTTTGCAAATCGCCGAAATGGGAGACAGTGATAATTTGCCAAAAAATCACTTGTCCAAACAGCAATAAGTTTTGTTGAAAATGATGGACACTGGAAACAGAATCCGGTTGCACAGTGGTTTGGTTACCATGTGTATTTTATGCACATTTGTACCCATTGGAATATACACTGCCGTACCGTTTAACACCGCGTCCCGTGAGGATATTTTACGTAAATTTGTAAATTATGTACAAAGTGAGAAGACATTTTGTTTCCCCGATGCCTGGTCCCCCGGATCCGCACAGGATAGTGATGAATCATTGTCTAAAGGACCTGTGTTGACATTCCATCCGTTGTTTACCGATGTAATCACTCCGCACTCTTTAATGAGTAGCTTTCATGAGGACGTCAAAGAGTCCATTCGAATCATGCGTGTAATCAATCGATTGTTCCACTTACCCCAAGGAATACCGACAAATGTAATGACAGAGCTTTTGAATTCCTATATCCAGGCCGCGAAACCAGTCACATTCCGACAAACGAATGACTTGACTACCAGTAATGTGACTTCAGCCAACCAAAATGTGACATCTATGTTAGCCATAGGATTGTGCAAGGACAGTGGACTAATTTCTTATGCAACATCCGGCACAGAAGTGATAAGTCCAGCAGTGCCCAAGAAAGTATGTGCGGAATTGAAAACCGCGGCAAAGCTCCACGATCTGAGGAGTTTCACAGAGGAGACAATCTACGAACGATTTCAAATGAACTGGGTGGCGAATCAGTGTGAACAAATCGCCGGCCGTCCAGCTGTCATTCGTGTTGCTGTGCGTCCTGTGGAAGGCACCGGAAAACTTCAGTGAGTTGGCTCAGTTTTGGGAGCGTAGTTTATTAGTCTATCCGTTTGGTTTACTCTGTTGAATAACAAGCGATAGGAGCTATCTCGAACGAACAATGAAGCAGCACCGTTCGTTGTGTAAACTAGCTTGTGCATAGGAAACTCCTCACAAGGTTTCTGAAAACTCTTCGGCATCCCACGATCGGTTTCGCCCTTCCACTTTGGGCTCATCAGGTAGCCGCGCAGTCCCCGAGTTTCCGTCAACCTCATGATCTACTTGAACCCAAATTGCACTGTTTTCGAGAAATACACTCATTTGCAAATCAATTTGGTTTTCACGAGAGACTCAACTGAATCTCTCGTTTATGATATTCTACAGCTGAATGTGCTGCATACAGGTTGCCTCATGTTTCAGTTGGCACGGTATTCGAGATATCGCTGTATATTCTCATGAAGGAAACTACTCACAAGGTTGCTGAAAACTGTTCGACAGCCCACGACCGGTTTCGCCCTTCTTGGGGTTCATCAGGTAAGCGCAGTCGCCGAGTTGCCGTCACCTGTATGTTCTACTTGAACCCACTGCTTCATCCATGATCGATTTCTGTTCATTGCGACGGTCCGATGACCTTGTCCGCCTCTCTCAAGGTGGTTGTTCTGTCCAAGGCCAAAATTTGAGCCACCTTTTACACCTGAAGAAATCGGATGACGACTGGTCACGAATTCAGATAGAAACTACCCAGGAATTAAAAATATGTCTAGTTTTTAAGCGACTATTAAAGGCGGAGTACCGTCTTCTCGCGGCGGCTCAGTTACCGTGCCTCTGAATAATTGAACTTTGATTGTGTCAGAGCGAATACACCAAAACCTCAATTAATACTGCAGTGAGTTTCATCAAACCACCCATCCATACAGTCGGAAAGAAAACTTGTTTGATGCCTAGCTGACCTCAAGAATGGGTGACATAACTGGATTCTCTTTCACGAAGAGGTATTCTAGGAAAAGGGAGTTAAAGCACGGCGTTTCGTTTCGTCATGTGTTCCGGTCTGAAAGTTGGACCGAACGGATGACCACTGCTCCTGAGCAGGTGAAAGTTTAGGATGCATTTTCACCGCCATAATGAAAGCGTTTAATTTTGTACACGGGAGAACCGTTTTCTTAGTGCTTTACGTTCTTCTGGATGGGCTAACCGAAACCGGTTACTTCAGAAATATCGGCTCTGTTCGAAAGTCTGAATCGATAAGCCATGCCTACTTTGTGATTTTAAAACGAGGGATATAACTATATGCTATTCAAACGTGATCGTTGTAGAGGGGTAAGCTATATAAGAATGTAATCGAAATGGGTAGAAGGGCAACGCCAATCTTTTGCGTCTGTTGATTGGACCTCCACAGAGTTTTTGTCTTTCTCCTTATGCGTGCACAAGAAACAGTGTGCACAGAAATGCACCATTCCAAATCACACACGGTGTTTCACTCATTTCGAATTACATTTTGGTATTACACACACCTGGATGATGTTTTGGCACTCGGTTGGCAATGAGCTACAAGCCATTGAGGAAGTTCCCTCCAAAAATAACTACCGGTGGCGTTATCCTTCCTGTACGATCACATCAAGAAATTCCCACTTTGGTCAACGTAAATTAGCCCTTGAGATTTCGTCCTATCCTGTTGAAATGCTGAGAAGCACGGTACAGTTGTTTCATCATTATTGGCATGGCACATCTTTCGAAAAATGCAACCTTTCTGCCAGTGGACGAACACTTAAACGTTTGGTCACAAACGGCCGAAAGGCTCCCATTCAGACGGGCTATAGTCATCCCACAGTTCAAGAAACTACGTCACGTATTGACTGACTTTTCGAGGGTTTGCTTCTCAGATCGGAGTTCTATTCATATTGTCAAATCAATCTCCTTCTGAGCTTCGTATAGACTGTGTGGAGTGATTTGGTACTCCTCAATTGGGGTCTCGTCCTGCCACGTACGTAATCAGACAAGGAAGGCATCTAGCCAACAGACCTCACCCGACCGAGTCATTACTCGGAGAACCTGGTTCAGACATTGGCGAAATACACTCATTTGCATACCATTTTGATTCTGATGGGAGATTCACCTGGAACTCAGCTGAATCTCTCGTTTATGATGTCTTTTTTATGAGATTCAGCTGGGTTTCAGGTGAGTCTTCTGTCAAAGCCAAATCGGAATGCAGATGAGTGTTTTTCGCTAATTTCGTGCAATTCGGGTTCAAGTAGAACATGAGGTTGACAGAATCCGGGGCTCGCACCTACCTGGTGAGCCGCAAGTAGAGCGAAACTGGTCGTGAGCTGTCCAAGTGTTTTCTGCAACCTTATGAGTAGTGTATTGCGTGTATACTTGTTTCAGTCATGTTCTTCGTGTTGAAGGGAATTTTCAGGTAACATCAGTTCAGCTTTCGGAATCGCCCCTGGCCACCTAGTGGGAAATTTTGAAAAAGCACCTTCATATTTCATGGTTTACAAAATACTGGTTTCAATGTACACTCATGAATATCCTATTTCTGTGCATGCTATGACTACTGACTTGCTTTTGAGTAGTATATAGCTCCACTGCATAGGTTCAAATGGTCTGCCACACACATAAGTCACCCGCTGCACACGTGACAACAGTTGTTCGGGGTGATGTTTTCGGGTCAATCAAATGGGGACTGTTGTCCCATCGCCTAGCTAACGGCAGTCTCAGTTGACCTCAAAGTGTTAATCATCACATTCTAACTTGGTGATAACTCATCAAAGGCACTTTGTGCGTTGACTGTGGCAACGCATTTGAAACCAAATTCACCTCAAGCCGATATGGCTTGCCAAAATTCCAAAAGCGTTTCTCGCAGACCCGTTTCCTTGTTGACCTGACTCGAGGTTGCCCCTCGCAACGCTTCGGTTTGTTTCAGTTATTGATGCGATCAGTCCCATGGCCACATCTAGCCAATAGACCTCGGACCATAGTAAGGTAAACTACGGTCAGTGGGACAATGCTTTTCGGGGAATGTTCGAACCAAGAACGCTCCTCTCCAACTTCTTTTTATAGCTGTGTTTTTGCGGAGTATAATTAACCGGTCAATTGCGGCTGACTCCCTTTTCTCCGCATCATTTCTGCGAAATCACGTGGTTGTTTTGTAGCCATCCGTTCACCCACATGCATGACTTTACAGCTCGCCGCCACTCACCAGATCTGTCTTTCCCTTTACACTCACAAATCACGCCACACAATCGTGACTCACTTGACTGCACAGCCTACAGTCGTTCAGAGGGCTCGCCTTTTTCCCCCTACGTTTACCAATCACGACACACAAGAGTGACTCATCTGACATTGATTGTCTGTACCGTCTGGGGAGTCACTGTGAGCTGAACAGTCAAGTGTGTGGGTGAGGGAATACCTAAGTCACTAAGATCGGTGTTTGACCTTTCACCAATAAGTTCATGGTGAACTTAGCTGCATCTCCCGTTTACAATGTTATCCTCCAACTCAGTATGCAGCACATAAAGGGCCTCATATTTCAGCTTCGAGATATCACCTTACATTTCCAGACATGACTCATAAGGTTGCTGGACACTTCTCTACAGAACACGACCGGTTTCTGCTTCGGGTTTATCAGCTAGGCGAAGTGTCCGAGTTTCCATCGATCCGAGTTGAACAGATGCCATTTGCAAACTAACTTGGTTTTTCGAGAGACTCACCTGGAACCCAGCTGAATCACTCGCTTGTGATGTTCTCAGGCAACTGAATGTGCTGCACCAGGCCGCCTCATTTTTCAGCCGCTACGATATTCGAGATATCGCGATACACGTATATCTTTGTAATGTACTACTCATAAGGTTGCTGAAAATCCGTCGACAGCCCACGACCAGTTTCACTCTTCTTGAGGATAATCAAATTAGTTTGCAAATGAGTGTATATTCGCTAATTTCGTGCAATTTGGTTTCAAGTAGAACATAAGGTTGACGGAAACCCGGGGACTGCGCTTACCTGATGAGCCTCAAAAAGGGCGAAACCGATCGTGGGCTGTCGACGGATTTTCAGCAACCTTATGAGTAGTACATTACAAAGATATAGATGTCAGTCGAGTATTTCGTTTGTACTGGCCCGCAGGACGCACCTGGTTTCAGTTCAGCCTTCTGTCAAAACCAAATGAGTCTGAAAACGAAAGTGCTTGTCGAACACACTTAAGCGTTTAATTAAGATCGTTTATAAGTGGCTACTGACTGATCGAGAACCGATGCGTGATTCAGTAACGAAACATTCTACATGCGTTCTCACAGCGAGGCAGTTAGAAAGCGTGTTTTCGGTTGTGTAACGGGTACTTCCATTGAAGAATGTGTCCAGTAACAGAAGCTGCGTTGGTTGGGACATGTGTTACGTATGCCGAACCATCGTTTGCCGAAGAGAGTACTGTTTTCCATGCCCAATTCGGAGTGGCGTAAACAGAGAGGTGGCCAACCATTGACTTGACAGAGGAGTGTGAAGGAGATCACGAAACGCTTGGGTGCTGTCGGTGCTACTCGCCTTCCAGGGTGGGGACCGCGTGATCCTCACTGTGCCTGGTTGGAGACACTACAATATATGGCTGGCAACCGATGTCAGTGGCGTTCCTGTTGTCAGTTTCTATCCAGATTGCCTGGGTGAATGTCTGGAGGTGTAGGCACCTGGGAATGATTGTGGTAAGCTAGCACTAAATCCCTCCCCCATCCCCCTTTATTCTTTTCTTTACAATAAGGTTTTCAAATAAGTCATGGTTGTACGTCAGTGAAGCATCGGTGTTGAACACTGATGTCATGCTGTCGATGATGATGATGATGATGATGATCTAAACGGGTTCCGTGTGCTCAAATGTCTATATTGACAAAGTGATGGTGGTTTCAGAATCGTAGCCAAGTGTCAATTTAAGAACAACCTCCGTTAATCAGGTAAGAATAACGCGAAAAGGCCCACCAAGTGTCGGCTAATTCTGATGAGTCATCGGTTCATCCAACCAGTCAGCTATCGATCCGACAAT